AAAAAAAAAAAAAAAAAAAAAAAACTAGAGAAACTTTGTTATACAAGTAAATAGCAGAGATTTTCATTTTACGAAAAATCATTCGAAATCTCTAAAAATACACTGGTTTATATCTGCGAAATTTCTAGTAAAAAAAATTACAAACTGGCCATTTTGATCACTTTTTAGTTTTAACGTTAAGGCTGGATTTGAAACAGATTTAAAATAGGAGAATATCGATATTATTCTATTTAATGAAAAAAGGTTTTAATTGAATTTAATACTACTTTTTTAAAAAAAGAAACTCAAACGCTTTATCTAAAGAAAATTTGCTCCTTCGATCGACGATTCGATGATTTATTCGAGGCTTAATCGATGAAATACAGCTCACAACGTGATGCGTGATGTAAAAATTAGAAGAATTTTATTATCATAATAAAATTAGAAGAATTTTTAGAAGAAATTTATTCTGTTCTATTAGACATTAAGATGTTAAATAAGAATACACAAAATTAGATAAATTTTTTGATAACAGAGATCAGTTACTAGATGAATTAAATCGAATCGTTCATTTTAAGATTGAATTTGAATAAAATTCACGACATGGGATATAGTATCGTGACTGATCGACGAATAATTCAAGAACGAATGAGAGTCTCTGATGACGTGAAGAATATTGAGAGAATTGAAATAATATCGAAATAAGATCGAATTGTTGGTATAAACAATGATAAGAAAAATATCAAAGCAATCAAAGAATTATCATCGTGATATCGTTCTGTTCTACGCTAGTTAGCGACGTTTGAAGATCAGTTTTACACAAGAAGGATCTCAATTAGCGAATTAATACGATTCGTTTCGAGGCTTCGATCGAATGGTTCGTGATGGAATTGCAATCAGATCCGTTCGCGAGAATGAGAGAGCGAGAGAATAGTGATAGAGAATTAGAAGAATGTGGTTATTCTGCTCGATGTTAAAAGGATTGAAAGGTCAGATCTTTGATAATAGAGATCTCAATTAGTAAATTAATTGAATCGTTGCGTCATTTAGTCATCGATTGAAATGAAAACGATGGAATTAATGAAATATTATTTCGTGATAATACACGCACGCTGGAACATATCCCAACAAAGCTCGAAGATCGAAATTATCACAGGCTGGGTAACTACAACGATATTGAATGCCCGAACGACGATATTACCATGATCATGCTATTATTTTGTTATTACACTTCGATACCAAACGTCCGAATAACCCGTCTTTCACAACAGGGGATCTCGATTAACGAGCAAATTGATACAAGTTATACTTCCGCGCTTCACCGCCACCGAGATTTCCCACCGTTGTAATTGTCAGGCCATTATCACCGTACTCCGCGACGGTTATCCGACGGTATTTAAACGGAATCAATGGATTACCCGTCTTAATCAAAGTTACAGGAACGCCCGACCATACGTTTCAATTACCCGGTCTGCCAGCGTGCAGCGTGGCGCTCTATATATCAGCGAAACATTGGTCAGAGCCGTTCATATTTCACGGGACGACACGAAAGTGCATTACGAGCTAACAGATTAAAGTTTTCTCATCAGGAACTGCCGCACGGATTCCCTTCTCTTTTCGTAACAATTCCTCCTTCGAACCGGCTCGATGAGCTACGATAAAGTTTTCTCTCAGCTTACCAGCAACTTCATGGCTCGGCCCGTTCCGCGAATCTCGTTTCTCTCTTTCTTCCTTCTCTATTGTCCCTTTATCCGGCGGAATTTCCCCAGGCAGTCCACTGTCGCCTACTGATCCATTTCGTGCCGGTTTCAACCGTATATATACTCGATTACGTATAACCTCCGATGATGAGTAAGGAAAAATGGCCACCGCGCCCTGTTTCCTTCGCAAAGACGGCCGGACTCTTTGGAATTCCGCTCGCAGAATGGAGCAGAACAAAGACTGGTATGTACGGCCCGCGCTCGAGCCGATGCAGACCAGTTCTCTCTCAGCTTCGACCACTTTCGATTATTAACGCTTTAACCGGGGAATTAACAGTAGAACCACGGTCGAATAAATTGGAAAACTCGTGTCGGTGAAATTGAACTTGCCGGCAGTTGGGAAGAGCTTTTAATGCTGTTAGGGAACACGAGCTTTGTTTATGTGACTTACGAACAAATCGGATAGAATACAAAAATTATGTGAAACACGTCCGACTAGCAATTCATATTTTTTTCTACTGCGTTGACACTAGAATTGTCAACGACGAAGTTGCTGTAGAACTTGCGTCACAGAAATTCAAATGCAAGAAATAGGGAAAAGATGAACATAACACAATTTTTTATGAAAAATTAAGAATTGGACATCTTCTGACTATATCGATAGTTTCAGTTAATCACGTTTTGAGTATTATGAGAATTGTCCTTTGACATACCAAGTAGTGTCATTCAAGAAACCCAACATGTATATAGCATTTTTATTAAAGCTTATAAATGATAATAAAATTAAAATACTCTGTATACTTACGGTACTATCAAGACGACATAGTGAACACTCCCTCGTAATTTTTATTTAAAAGTTTCACACTTTTCTGTGACGTATGATTCGACTGAGAATAGAAATTCAATCGCTAGTGGAAGGTAAAGTGTTGAAATGTAAAGAACAGTATTGGAATGCAATTTTCTCGCTTATAATATAACACATAACACACATAGTAATTAAGCTGAGTTATTACATACACGAATCCCACTCAAAGACGAAGAATTAAAAAAACGAGGGAAAAACTAACAGATTTATGATCCATTACGTAAAAGATACATACTTGAGTATCTATATTACAAATGCAAAGGATTTTTCAGTGACGGAAATTCTTTATACTCCATATACCTTTGTACTCTAGTCAAGCGACACTGTAGCCTGACACAGGTATCTGCAGCTTCAACAGAAAGATAATTTACATCCTAAATGCAGACATATTCCCATTCGCTGCACGTTGGAAGATGAAAGCTCACGGAGAGCAGTCCTTGCAATCTCTTTCGCAAACGGACGATAAAATTATATTATCGCGGGGCATGCGCGCGCGCAAAATAAATAGACGCTCCGGCCGGAAAAATAGAAGCCAGCCAGAGGGGAAAAAAAATGGTGAATTGGAAGTGCGTGGACACGGGCAATTACTTTCCAGTGTTGTAACATTTGACTGGACTTTCAAGACAACATTTCCTGCTTTGCTAATGTATCGGCGATCGAAACTCATTTTAGTCTATCGATCGCCGCGTATTCAAGGCCGGCTCACGCAGAATCGAAAGTCAATTTCGCAACATCTCGCGCCGATTGCATCTTGTACAATGGAACCCTTAAATTCAGTTATAATTCGGTGATGGGTCCACTTGAATTTCGAAACGGCTCGATGGTTTTCGAGGCGGTGGAAAGTCAGTAAAGTTCGAAAGAGAATCGATATACTCGTAAAGTCTCGGAAGTTCTTAAAAGTTTTGATATTCTTGAAAATCTTGCAACTCCTGAGAGTCTTGGAAATCTTGAGAATCTTATTTTAAAAAAGTCTTGAAAGCTTGACACGTAGTCAATATTTAACAAACAGTTTCAATGCTTCGATTTATAATAACTGAAGAGATTCATTTGGAAGATGGTAAATTGATATTATTTACATAAAATATGAAGTGATATAGAAAATTATTCGTCTTTATAGTTTACATGGTATTACATGATGCTTTAATAATTTTTCCTTAATTTTTCCAACAAGATTTCTGAAAATATATAAGATTTCCAAGATTATTAAAATTAGAATTTTCAGGAGTTTGAGGTATCGAATCTTATTCGAAGTGATTTGAATTTTTTATCGCATATATACGTATATATTCAAAGTGCTTGATAATCATCAACTGACAATCTTTATTTCTTCCTCTTTCGATCGAAAATTTTCGCCGATTGATTGTTAAATGTAATGAGGCAAATATCCCTGTGATCATGGTACAATTTACGTGCAAAAATGAGTTGGAAAGAATAACTTTTCTTCGTTTAAGACTACAGTTTGTAGAAAATTTAATTTGACCAATTTAATTGATCAAGTACACGCGTACTCAATTAAACACGTTCAAACTCTATTTTCTTGAAAACGAGGCCCTAAGAGGAAAAATTATATTTCTCACACGTTCGAATGCAGAATTATCTTCTATTCAATACAGAATGAATCAAGTTCAAATAATTACTTGATGAATTTCCAAACTCGATGTTCACGAAAAGAGAGTCATAAATGAAAAGATATTTTACTTCTTTTTCCACTCCTTCTGCACTTTTAGAATCACTCTCTGACCAACTGTGACACCTTAAATATTTAATTAGTTAATTATACGGGATAAACTTATAATGAAGTTACAATGAATAAATAGAATTGGAATAGAATATTCGATACTACTGAAATACAAAGAACGTGAATTTCATTCATTTGATGCAATTTTTTCCATAAGAGGCGATAATTTTATACCAGGGATTATATTAGATACCAGAATCCGTGTATCTATTACATAGAAAAGAAAATAATTTTTTGTCCATTTAAAAGATTGATAATGAACAAAGAAAAATCTACAAACAGAGAAAGATGTTACACGAATTTGCCCCACGACTGTGGATACATTCATACGTGTAC